TAAACATTTTCAAACAGGTTCTCCCAGGGCCAACGGGCATTCCTCCTCACACACCAGACACCCCCGCGAGACTAACAAGCACCACTCCCGACTAACGGACACTCCCGACAAATCTGCGCTCCCCCCAACTGACAGGTACTCACCCCCCCCGTCACTGGCCCACCCCTGGTAGTTCGGGGCACCCCCGCTCACCAGCGGCACTCCCCGTCAACAACAGGCACCCCCCCTCCATTGTGGGCACCCCCCTGTGCATTCGCGCACCTCTTAGCGCCGTATTTGGACGAAGGGAACGATGCAGGATGCACTCAACTTCCCGGACAGAAACACTGTATTCCCTGATGCTACACAATATTCATTGAGCAGATACGCTAAACAATGTATTCTCTCCTCAGATTCACTTGATTCTCTCATCATGTACATCCGAACCCGCTCGGAATTTTCACTGTCTGTATATTCTCATGAAATTCGATGCGGTCCCTAATTAGATTCACGGTGTTCCCTGACCACAGTCACTGTAGGATATCCCCTCATCATTATCAATGTATTTCGAAATCAGATTTACGGTATTCCCTCATCCGATTCACTGTATTCCCTCATTAGATACGCTGGATTCCTTCCTCAGGCTCACTTTTTTTCCATTTCGGATACATACAACTCTAGTTGCTGATCAAGTAAGCTGCAAGGGGTGGCTGATGAGATTCACTTTATTCCCTGAGCAAATTCACTGTGCTCCCGAATCCAATTCTCTGCATTCCCTCATCGTATTCACTGCATTCCGTCATCAGATGCGCTGTATTCCTTGTTCAGGTTAACTGCATTCCCTCATCAGATTAACAGGACTGGGGGGTGCCCGTTATAGTCGGGGTGAATGCCCGTGAACGGGGGGGAGTGCCCTTCAGTCTGGGGTGGTGACCGCTAGCCGGGGGCAGTGTCTGTTCTGAGGGTGGAGTGGCCGTTGTGGGGAGAGAGTGCCCATTTGCCCGGGGAAGTGCCCGTTGGAGAATATATACCAATTTTCCAGGGGGTGCCCGATTCTGCCATACGTCCCCCACCGGTGGGGCACATCCGTAGTATACCCCTCCGGCCGTGGTAGCACCTGAACCGAAACCGTTGGGCTTGACGATGGGTTATACGATAGCCCTACAGCGCAGCAACACAGTTGAGCGTGTCCTGTGTCGACTGGAGTCTTGTATGACGCAGACAGCTGGTGGGGTAAGCTGTGTAACCCACCAATCTAGAAGGAAGTGTAAGGTTCCCACTGGATGAATGTAAAGCTGTGTGGCGGGAATACTTCATGTGCTGGTCGCCTCACCAGCTGCCAGCTTGCTATGTGCTCTGCGTGCGTGTTCGTGTGTCGATTGGAGTCATGCAGGGCTACGTACAGCAGAGTCTATGTGTAGCTGAAGGGGAGTTTGCCTGCAATAATATAGAAGGCAATGTTCTCTACCCACGTCAGGTGTTTAGCGCAATGCCGCGGAATTTCTTGACCTGTTCGCGGCCCCAGGTGCTGCTCGTTGCCGTGCGCTGTTCGTGCATCGACCACAAACTCCTGCAGGTGCTTGTGTGTCGATCGGAGCCTTGTAGAGGGAGATCCAACTGGTGGGGTCCATAACGTTATTTTCCCCACCAGTGGGGTAACGGTACATGTTCCCCACAATCGTGGCACCACGAAAACTGTGCTGTTTCGACCTCACGATGGATCCAATGATACCCCTGCAACGCCGCAACACATTCGTTGAAAGTCCTGTACTGATTGGAGTCTTGTACAGCGAGCTACAGGTGGTGGAGTGTTCAAGTGTTAACCGCCCCACCGGTGGGGCGGTCAAGAAATTACCCCGACCGGTGGGGTGTTTTGGTATTTTTTCTCTTGTGGGGTTTTCCGGGGACTGGCAGTTTTTTCAGGGGCGAGCAAGGATCTCCTTTTACGACCCCCGAGGCCATGATCACACACGAAGGTTCCGCTGTACATGGCACATCAAAGGAGCACATCATCCGCTTCATGCGTGCTTGGAACGTCGTCACTAGTTTAGTACGTGATGTGCCTCCGATATACTCGCGGCTCGCTTGAAGTTACATCCCCCACGAACGAAACTCTACGAAAGCAAAATTGTCGCGAGAATGATCGTCACTTTCGGAGGGTGCAGCAAGAGAGCCGGATAACTTTATTCGTGCACCCTTTCCTGGTCATCTGAAAGACAACACTACACGCGTGTACGCGAGAGTGTGGAGTCACACCACGATACACACACGTTCTATGTCTGCTGATGGAGGTATAGCTGGAGGTATCAGCGCGAATACGCATGTCGGCCAAGGAAAGTCGACAACATTGTGTGTGTCGCCCATCGCGAGCGCAAGATATTAGTGCAAAGGAATCCTTGTACTTGCCGAGACCTTGGCACTCCACAGAAGTAGAAATATTAAATCATGTCGTGGTGAATACTTCGTTTACCAACATGGTCAGTTTCAACTTGTCGGTGCCGACACTTGTTTTGGAGTTCGAGAACAACCTGTTTTCATTCAAAATCGAGAACAACATGTTTTCATTCAAAATCCGTTCCTGCTGACTCCACAATGACGTGAATTACCCACGTTGTTCCTGCTTCGTTTTTTGTTCTCTGGCGTAGCGTTTTGTTCGAACGATCACAGTGAAAGCGCTTGCCATAAAGCCATAATCTCTTCTGCGATCATCACGGGATCAGCAGAATCTATCAGGCAAGTGCGACTGCGGCTGTTCAAAACTAGAGTTGAAAAGGCTAGAGTTACTTCGTCGATGGGTGGCGAATGTTATGATCCTGTTTGGATGTACTCGAGAAAAATTTCGTCCACTTACTCCAAACTGTCCAACGTTCCCAGCACCACGGTACACGTTCTATCGATGAATGTATGTATGTTGGAGATCCAACTGTAGGATTTCGAAACAATGCGGAAAAGTACTCCCCTCGTCAATGCCCACCACAGTAGACCAATGATTTTTCTGAGAATATCGTAACTGTTGCGATAAAATTCACAACGTGTTGTTGCTCCAAACACGGAGAGTACCACTGATAAGGGAGCGGTGGAATTTAGGAGGCGGCTCCGTTGTGGTACAGTATAGGTTAAGTAGAGATAAACGTAGCCAATAATGGTGCACTTTCTCAAACGAATTTCTCTGCAGCTATCGACATTGCACGACGAGGCGATCAGGAAGAAGATCTTCGTTTCACGTCTCACTCTTGTCTTCAATAATTTGGTACCCTATTGGACAAATTGTTACGCATACACAATATGTGTGTTGCCGCAAGGTAGGGTGAGCGCCGATGAAGATTCGGATACACAAGCCCGCCCCCCAGGGGGGATTTCGATTTTTTTCCAAAAGGATGGTGGATTGGGTTAGGCTTCTTGTGCAAATCTTCACAAGAGGTAGAGTATTGTTTAGTAAAAAATCGAGCTTAATGTGATTGGGTAAGTGAAGTTGGCGACGCAGCTTCCGACTACAAATCTCTCAAACGTTCCACGATGGCCAATTTGGTGCCTCCTTTCTTGGTTTTGTATCGTACTATTAAATCCCCAACTCCGCCCGATTGGTCGGGCGTTCTGCGTTGTTTCTCGGCAATTTGATACAAGATTATGGAACTCCGACTCGTTGAGAGGCATGCTGACCGATTGGAACGTTTGAGAGGCATTCACGCAGATGACGTTCGGCCTGTACTGTCCTCCGGGTACCTACTGCGACACGGCGAAGGTGAAAGTGGTCAGGTTATCCGGTAGCCGTCGTCGTGATTTGATGGATTTCCCGTGTCTACAAACGTACGATCCGGTTGCAATTCGGCTGAATCGGGGTTGGTTGTGAGCACCGAAGGCTCGTTTCGGGTTGTTTGGGATTTTCTTTGAGCCCATGGAACGTTGTGGACCGAACAAACGCAAAGCAACGCAAATTTACCCACACTTATTTCCAGCATTACAACGGACTACGTATTTGAAGATCCACCGAACCCAGCCCCCCTCCTCTCACCGTTTGCAGCCCGCGTAAGACGGGGGTTGCATGGATTCGTATGTTCCTAGTCCCCTACCGCTATACTGGTGGCAACCTGATAGATGCCCTTGCGCTCCCCACCCACTCGCACGCCCTACAGTGAAATCAACCATATATTTTGCTGAAGGGTAATGAAACTCAATTAATAACTGTCGAATGTGATTAACCGACGTCGTGGCCCGCTGAAAACGGTGACAGGCGACACCTGAATTATCCTCTATGGTCGGGTTTAGAAGTCGATCCGGTTGTTTCGTTCACCCCTTCCGTTCCTTTCCAGCCAACTATAGCAGTGCGTGGCAACACAACAGAAAAAGCTGCATCTACAGTACATCATTCGGAGGGCGTCGGGCGCGATTTATTGGGCCATTCAACCTTGTCCCTCTCGAGGTCTCTCCCAGGATCATGTGTACCTTACTCTGTCTCTCGCTCTCTGGTGTTCCGGCTGTTTCGGGGAAGACCTCGAGAAAAAATATAGAACTACGAACTACTGTGGGGTGAAATATCGACCCCCTGCCCACTGGGGGCGGGCGGGGGCATTGTGTAGAGAGATGATACAGACATCAAGTAGGTTAGCGAGAACCGCCAACGATTGCTGCGCGTCTTTGGTCTATGCTGTCAATCATTCAAATTAGAAATCATACATGTTCATTTCGTAGGTAATGCAAATTCGATTTCAAATACCTGATCCCATACAACGAACGCCCGCGTCACCAATCAATCCTCCTGCATACGGTGCGGCATAGTCGGGATGTTTACTATTTTTGGTATGAACCATTTGCCGGTCGCCCCGGTGGTCTAGTGTTAGTCTCGAAACCGCTATAATAGTGGCATAGTTGTGAGTTTGAATCCTCCTGGATGAAAATCAAAAAAACTTTTTTTTCGCTTCAAATCAGCGCTCACAGCACGAGTGCCATTTACTCCAACCCGTGGTCACACAGAAGAGCCCCTCTCTACCCTCCCCTCCTGCGGTATTTTGCCTTCGATTTTTATGCGAGAAGAGTTCAGCACTCTCTTCCCTCTGTGTACACACGAACTAGCGCTATCCACTAGGCCGGAAGCGGGAGCGAGAGAAAAACTCACTTTGCAAGAAAAGCTCGCTTACGCCTGGATTCGATCCCCTGACCTGACCTCTAGAAGTATTCGAGGTTACCAACTAGACCACCGGGGCGACCGGCGATATAGTGGAACACGTGCAACATAGAACATGTCTCACTACGAAAATGGTGGATAGAACACGCACTAGACAAAAGCAGAAGGGTTCTCTGTCTCGTGACACGTGGAAAGTTAAGTGCCGCATTCGCACTGTTGTGTGTTCGAGTTTTTAATTGGGTGGTTCGTGGAACGAGACACGGAGGGGGGCTCACTACAACAACGCCACACGTGCACCATCAAGATCGGGACCTTTGCTCCTGTCCTTTAATAAGCAACACGGTTACCTTTCACATTATACGTAACTTGCCATCACTGACGATCGACCTCGCGTGTACCTTGTGAAAATAATACATTTCATATTTTACGGTTGTTCACCATGTGTGTGGCTATTCTGGGTTGTCCGAAGCCTGAAGTACCGCCGGCGCTGTGTGAACCCGAGGGTCGACATGTTCTCCAGCAGGTCGAGGTGAGGGTGAAATTCGATTTTTTGCTGCTCGTCACCGGAGTACGAGGAATGCCACGCACCTGCCGCGCTGGGCAGTCAGTTGTTAAGCCTCCTGCCTCAGGTTGGAGAATGTGACGCTCGTGGACCCGGTGTTTTGCATCTGGCTGAAGAGGGCATGTACCACCCAAATGTTTGCACACGTGGATGCTTTTCGAGCGGTGCGTATGTTGTGTTCAAGCACCGCATCGAACCCTGCTGGAATCGGATTCAATCTCTTACTACATTTTTGGCTTCCATGGAAGTGCACCATTGACTTCCATGGACGTCGGTGCAATTTGGCTTCCGTGGAAGTTGAGGGGACGTTCGTGGAAAGGCGGTTCCCGAGCGTCTTCCACGGAAACCGTTGGAAGGTCCATTGAAGTCGCCCACGTTCGGGTAGCTTCCATGGAAGTATAAATATTATGGACCACCTCCCATGGAAGTATATCGCCCGAGGTCAGCTTCAATGGAAGTCAACATGGGCGACGCCGATGAACGCTTTCGAAGACTGGTTCCATTGAAGCTGAAAAACGCGGACAACTCCGTTGCTGTCATACCTTCGACTCTCCTCGTATCTGCTTCGCCCTCGGAATACCCACCCGGCGTTGTTCCGATCTCTCGCTTGCGGCCGCTGTCTCCGCAACATCGTGGTCATCACAAGTGTTTAGGGCTTACAGTAACTCCGTTGTTAATCACCAAATCAATATTTCGACGTAAATCATTTTCTCTTTATTTCTGGCGAGATTCCTTCTTTTCTGGACTTGTGCATGAAGGATCTACCGCCAAAAGTTCCACGCGCTTTCGAGATTGACGTCCGCGATTGTTTCACTACATACTACTTGTACAATACGTCCTTTCATCGTCGCAGTGGGACTCCAAATTACGCAAACTACCTTTTGCCTGTCAGGACCATGGACGAATCTGCAATATTCAGTCTTCATTTGCATTCAACTCCTCTAGATCTTTCATCTCAGTCCTTCTTTGCTGCCCGCCCCTCTAGTGGGTGGGGGGGCAGTTCTCACCCCTAGCAGTCTAATGTTGTGGCTGCTTGCTTCTCGTTTATTTCATGGGTGCCACCCAACAACCGCTGTGTGGTGTCCCACGTAGGGCATGGCGCGTATTGCTGTCGATCCAGAATGTGCCACACACGATCCCGGTTTTTGGTACTCCACACATTGCTCCAGTAAGGGAACAAGAGTTGTCTCCACGACGCCGCGTGCGTTGCCTCTTTCAGCGACTGGCCCATCCCGCGACCGATTCTGATTCCGAAGCATCCGTTCTTCGACGTCATTCCGATTATGACACCGGGTTGTTGGCGTGTGCCACCACGTTGTCAAGGCCGATTTAAGACATGCCATCACGGGAAATACTTCGCACAAGGTTTGGGTGTTTCATGAGGAAGTTGTCAGGCTCAGATTTATTACTTTAGCCTGTTATCTCTGACTACGACAACGCCCGTCTGGTGGACGTTTTTTGCCCCTCCTGAATAACTCTGACGTTGGCAGACCATCCTGGCTGGATATCGGGCAATCGGAATTATGGAGCATTGGGGGCTGTCGATGCAGCTGTTCAACGCCCGCGTGCGGTCCCCCGTGCGTGATTGGAACGTTTCCACTCACGTTAACCCGGGGGGGGGGTCCGGGATTCGTGATGAGGTACTCCAGTGGGCTCATCAAAGCCCGGCCATTCACGACGCGTTACGGACAGATATGCTGTTGTACTCTTTCGCGCTATCCATTTTCAAGCAGCAGGCGACAGATGCACTCGGTACGGACTGGCTCGAATGCACAACACCTTCGTGATCATACTCGCGAACATGTGGCGTCCCCGAACACAAGCAAACATCCCGGGAGTGGTGATGTTTGGGTTAAGTCTGTAGGCTAGTCTAGTAGATGTTTTTTCGACTGTAGGTCGAGGCAATTTTGAAAAAATATCTCGGTTCGATTATTCCTCTGCCATGTGATGGCCGAAGCAGCGATACAATCGCCCCTCTGGGTCTACAAGCGAGACTACAGTACTTGTGAACAACAAGGCCGGATTGCAATATTATCGAACGTCTCAGGTTCTTCATTTTCGACGTACGTTCAATGTTTTTTCTACGACGAAAAATGAACAAAAGGTAGGGAGAGCGAGGGTACTAGTGCGGAGACCATGACACCAACGTGCTTCGAACAGCACTCTATTCACTACATGTACATGTAGACCTGTGGGGTAGTAATGGTAGCCCGCGACAGGGTGGAGGCAACTCGTGTGATATTCGAATGTTTCTAGGCTGGCTGCGGTGCGGCAGGTAGAGCGGGTTACGGTCACGAACCTTGCAACGATCTGTCAGTGGCTTGCTTGAATTTCATACTGTAATGTGCACTGCAGCAGTCCTACATGTTGCCGTACATTCCCATGATGGTTGGTTGACATGGTGATCTGTGAGAGAGGATGACGACCCCGACCTAAAACATGCACTTTTGTAGATAGTTGTGCCCGCCCAATGTGAGACCTACAAAGTGTATTTCTCCAGTTTCTGTCAGTGAAGTTCTCAGAACCTATTTTCGATTTTGACGCAAGGTTCTATGCCGCGGAATTATTGCCCCAGTGGGCCCCATTTGTTTCCGTTTTTTCTCTTGGCTTTAGAGTTGGCGATGTCCGGTTTCTCTCCAACAGTAACTGTTTTTCTTGTGTCGATGTTCTTCCGTCTACAGTAGTTGGTATCCGGTTGCCCGGGTAGGCAAGTTGGTATTCTCAAATCAAAACCTTGCATGTAGTGGTGAGGGTCAAGGGTTCGAATGCTGGTGTGAGCGAGCTTTTCGTTCAATGTGATTTCTTCTCTCGCTTCCGATGATGGCCTGGGTAGGAAGCGCTAGATCGTGTGTAAGCGGAGGGAAAGACACTACTGCTGTATTGCACTCTTCTCGCATCAAAAATCGAAAGTAAAATACCGCAGGAGGGGTGGGTGGGGGGCCTCAGGAAGAGGAACCCGCCTGGTTGACCACGGGTTGCAGTGCCGTGAGCGACTTCCACGGAATTAAAATATTTTGTCTCGATCCTGCGGCAGCGAACACCAGCAGCGGAGAAGTTATTTCCCAATTGATGAGCCGAGGGCTTGCCATATGTGCGGACATTGCAGTCCGCTGGGTTGTTTGGGCTGGGTTATAGGGTCAATTCGGGATGCATGGTTTCCCAGATGATGAACCTACCCTTTGCCACCGTTGCAGACAAAGCAGTCGAGTTAGGGTTTGGCGTAGTGTCCATTCGGGGTGGGGTACATATCTGCCTTTTCAGTTGTTTTGTATAGGCGGATGTGTTGTGTGGTTCATGCTTGGTTGGTAGCTGGTGCTCTGCTTATCAGGACGATAGTTGGATTCTAGATCGTCCGCCCGTGACGTCAACTTCAAACATTTCGACGGAAGTCCTTGCACTGGCTTTCACGGATGTTGCCGAGTTTCATGACAGTTGCCTATTGGAATCGAGAGGAGCGCTTCCGTGGAACTTGCTTCGATGGAAGTTTACTGTCCAATCGTTGCAACATTTCCATGGAAACTACTTTCGTGGACGTGGATGTTCTTCCACGGAGGAAGTGCCGGTCAGTTTTGTAATTGGATCGATGGACGGGTTTTCATGAAAGTCCCACCATGGAAAGTCTTACCATCGAAGCGTGTACATACTACGCTCAGCCGCTGGTATTATTAGTCTATGTTATCAAATTATATATAACTAGGGTAAGGTGGCCGCCCGCCGTAGGCGGCGGAACGGCCACCCGGATATACGCACGAAGAAGGCCAATGAATGATTTGTGGATGTGAAGCGCGGGAAATAGAAAGGAGGATGCAGGTTATGTCTATTAAAGGAGGATGTGTCAATGATGATACATCCCGCGGCTTTGGTCACGACTGCAATTGAAACGCAGTGACATATGAGTGGCGATGAATGTGTAATCCTCATCAATTAATGAAAAGATCATTGGAAAGTATGCAGGGTGG